TACATGAAAGCCTTTCATGGGCAAGATTCTTTAGGAAGGTTGTAGTCCCCTTTCTACTATAAAATGTGGTGGTTGGTGTCCATGATCATAAGATTTTATGTTAGCGGAAGAACAATTGTGAAATGGGAAAAAACATGGATTGTCTATATATATATATATTTCTTAAAGCTAGTTTCACAATTTTGTCCTAGGGTGCTGATTTTGTAGAAGATTAAGGTCTTGTCTTCATTTCTTGCATAATAGTTTTTTAATTGCATGGGTTTAGAATCCCAACAATTGCCTAGTTTTAGGTTTTGTGCCTTTTGTTTATAGGAAAGTTTAAACTTCTTTAACTTTTTTATTGATGATGTAGTACAAAAGATGGCCCCGTTGTTAGTAAAAACACAGCCATAATATTAACACCATATAGGCAGCAAATAAGCCATGGCGCAAAGACCATGATGATGAGATTATTGCATTGCATATGATACTTTGCCTTTCTTTTGTTAGTTAGGTTCAGGTTTTTTGTTAAAATTCTCTAATAAATGAATTTTTAAAATATAAAGCATCAAGTTTGTTCATAATAAAAACTTATTTCGATGATGTTTAAGTTTAATCATGCCAATATGTATATTTTTATGTTGTTTAAGTTTAGTTGCAAGTTTAATTTTATACATTTTTAATTAGATTTCTATGTTTGTTTTAATTTAATCATGCCTATACGTATATTTGCATGTTATTTAAGTTTAGTTGCAAGTTTAATTTTATACATTTTTAAATAGATTCCTATGTTTGTTTTAATTGAATCTTTCATACTTTAATCTATGTTTGGCATTTTATTTACGCAACACAAGTGTTAATAGTAATAAATGAAAATTTTCGATGATAAGATTTTTAGGAAGTCCGAGTAGTGATTCTTTAAAATCTCTAGGTGAGGATATTTTTCTAAAAAAAAAATACTACCAAAGTAATTGAGTATTTAGGAAAATATTTAATACAAAAATTTTCATTTATCTATTTTAGATGTTAATAATAAAATGTAATGACTCTTTTAGTAATGAAATTGGTATAATTAAAGATTAAAAATTAGAATAAAAAATAAATTAAATTAAATAAGAAAGAAAAAAGTAAGTAAAATTTCCAGAATGAGATTCTAAGGAAGTCTGAATAGAGATTCCTAAAAAATCCCTAAATGAAAATTTTCTTTTAAAATACCATTAAAGTATTGGGATATCTAGAAAAAATTTTAATAAAAGATTTTATTTACTTCATTCCTTTAAAAAATATTTAATGATAATTGTGAAATAATTAAAGAGATTAAAACAAAATTAAAATGAGTGACAAAAATTATAACATAAAGAAAATAAATAATACAACATTTTTTTAGATACATACTCTGATTTATTGTTTTGCATTACATGATCTTAAATGTAAATGAAATTTCTGATGATGGGACTTTAAAAAATTCAAGTTGTGATTATCGATAATTCTCTAGGTGAGAAAAGTCTTCTAAAAATTACAAAAGTATTAGAATTTTTAGAACTTTCTTTTCAATGCAAAAAACCTCAATTATTTTCTGTAATTTGAGAAGTATTTTAAATAAAAATATGTTTTTTAAATAAATTTATGGATAACAATATTATTACATGTTTTGTTTTATATTAAAGCAAATGAAAAATCTCCAAAGATGATATTCAAAACAAATCCGAGTAATGATTTTTTTGAAACTCTAGGTAAGAAAATTTATTTAAAATGTTGCTAATGTATTGGAGCATTTTATATTAATTATCGATAAAGATTTCTTGTTTGTTTTTAAATGGCATAGAAATGATTTTTTTTAAAAATATTATTTGTTTTTAAATTATAGACATTATTACTTTATGATTTTTTTAGCATAAAGATTGGAAATAAATATAAGCCACCAAGTATAGGATTTTGGAGAATTTCGAGTGGCAATTCTCAAATATTCTTTAGATGAGATGGTTCCTCTTAATATTGTCAGAGTATTAGAATATTTTTAAGAATTTTTCAATATGTAAGGTTCATATTTATTTTTTCAAGCATAGTAAAAAATTGAAAATATGTTTTTAAAGAAAATTAAAGAAATTAAATTTTAAATACCAAAATTAAGACAATTTCAATCATAATTAAAGGATAACACAAAATTAATTGGTACCATATTAAACGCGCATCATGTGGGTGCTAATATTTCCCCACGCATAACCAACTCTTGAACTTAAACTGTTCTCGCAGATCCAAAATTATCTTTTTAATAAAGTTTTAATTAATTTTAAAATTTTTATTAAAAAGATAAGTTTTAATAGGTGGCCAATCGCACCTTATAAAAAAAAAAGATTAGTGGCGACCTCATCTTTTGTTTTCAAATTCATCTAGCGGCCCAAAAATCGTTAAGACAATCCTTCCTATCATAATTATGAAAATACCTTCATATTATAATTTGCCAAAAAATACTATAATATACTCTAATCATAATTACAAAAATGCCTTCTTATCATAATTATGAAAATCCCTTTGTTATAATTGGCTAAAATTATTATAATATCTTATAATCATAATTACCCAAAAAAGCCTTTTTGATTACTTCATACGCTTTCCAACTATAATTATGAAAATACCCCTTAATATTGAGGTTGATCAAAATTACTATAATACTTCTTAAGTATAATTATGAAAATACTCTATTGATTGCTTCATAATTGCATGTTAAATTTTAACATATATACAATAATATAAAATTAATCATTCTAGAAATGATCATAATGCCTTTTTAATTACATGATAATTAATTTACATACATTCAAATTGATTGTGATGCCCTTTTTTCAATGATTAACTAAAATTACTATATTATCCCCTTAAAATAATTACTAAAATACACTTCTTACCATAATTGGTCAAAATTACTACGTTGCCCCTACAACCATAATTATATAATACCATCATACCATCATTTGCCATAATTATGAAAATACTCTGCTATCATCATTTTTCAAAATTACTATAATATCACATCCACTATAATTATGAAAATACTCTCATATTATATCTTGTTGAAATCATTATAATACCTCTAACCATAATTATGAAAATGCCCTTTAACCATAATAACAAAAATACCTCGTATGTTATAATTGACTAAAATTACTGTAATATGATCTAACCATAATTACAAAAAAAAAAAAAAACCTTTTGATTGTTTTATATAATGTTTCTCCTACCATAATTACAAAAATATCCCTCTTTATAATTGATCAAAATTACTTTAAATACCCTATAAGCATAATGATGACAATACCTTTTTAATTGTTTCATAATTAAATATTAAATTTTAACATCCATACAATAATATGAAATTAATTCCCTTAGAAATAATCATAATACCCTTTTAATTACTTGACGATTGAATTACATGCATCTAAGTTAATTGTAATGCCCCTCTTTTATGATTAACTTAAATTGATATAATATCCTTTTCAACATATTTACTAAAATACCACTTTTACTATAATTGGTCAAAGTTAATATAATGCCCTACAACCATAATTTTGAAAGTGCCTTCTAACAATCTTTCGTCAAAATTATTATAATACATATCTTACCATAATTACGAAAATATCTTTTATATTATACTTTATCAAAATTACTATAATACCCTCTTACAAAAATTACAAAATTGCTTTTTTTTTATTACTTCATAATTAATTGTTAAATTTTAATATCTATACAATTATATGAAAGTGAAAACCTTAAAAATGATCATGATGCTTTTCTTAATTTACTTATTAAAATATCTCTTTTACCATAAATGGCAAAATTAATATATATATTATATTAATAAACTAAATATTTAATACATTAATTTAAGAAATTAATATTTTTAGCTTAATATAAAGTTTCATATGATATTCTCTATAAGCTTTTTTTTTTTATATATCTTTGCTTTTTTCTTTTCTTTTTTTTGTTTTTTTAATCTTTTCACTTATTTTATTTTTTAAATTAGATAACTTTCGTTAAAAAAAAATCCAATCAAAATAATCACATTTCATCATCATTGTTTTTGTTATCTTTTGCCCTTTTGTTTTTAGATTAAGTGGATTTTACAAAATAAAAACAACAAAATAAAAAAATTTTACTTGTGATGATGCACGGATATTTTGCTAGTAGCAATTAAATACTCCACGAACCAAACTATCTATAATGTCATACCAAGCAAATACACGAATCCTCAAAATAAAAAGTTGATTCGAGCTAATTATAAATCGTTCTTGCCAAACACCTTGTCAATCTAATTAACATCAAAAGTTGAAGATTTTTATGCCATTTACTCAATTTTCAATTTGAGCAATCAATTAACATTTTTTTTTTATTCAAATGAAAGATATTTTAATTTGACTTGAATGTTAATTTTAATATACATATAAAAAAAGTTTATCAATTGAACCTAAGTTATGGTTAATTTTAATAAGGAAAACAAGGTTAAAATAGATATCATTGTCAAAGCACCCTTCATTTGTGACATTGTTCATTTAAAGAACAAAAATTAAAGCCATTACATATTCACATTTAATTATTTTGCAAGAATTTCGTCATAAAAATGAAAACTATATACAAACTTGGAAACGAAAAACCTACTGTCCAAAAGCACAAACGTAAATAATCGAAAATCCCCTTCTATAGATAGATGGAAAATACGGAAGCACTATCATTATAAATACATTGTCCAAATTAAACAATTCTGTTTAAAAATCATTGACCGTTGATTAAAACTTATTCGATCAACCAATCATTGACCGTCGGATTCTTGTTGGACCCCTTCTCTACATTGGCGCCTAAATCAACATAACGGCCTTCAACTTGATCTTCAACTGAAAATTTCATCCTTATTCTCTTTACTATCTCCTCCAAGAAAAATCTCTCTCGTCCTGAAACGCAAACAAAACTTTCTCTCTCCTCCAAGAAAAGCAAACAGAAATGGAGAGGCCTTCTGTCTTTTCCCTCCAATGCATTGCGTTCTTGCTGTTATTATGTCCAGTCTCTTCTCTTGCAAGACCACATCCTCAACAAGGTCAGTTCAGTTTAATTCGTTTAAGTTTCTTCTTGTTTCCCTAATGCCTCTGGTTTCTCTGCTTTCTTTGAATTTTGAAATAACAGAAAAAATTTCAATGTTTTAGCCATTTGTTCTTAGAAGAAGTAGCTGTAAAAAGATTTTCTTGTTCCTTTTTGTTTTGAAATGCGAACTCAAATTAAGAAATCATCTTGGGGATTTTTTTTTCATTTTAAATGATTTTGGTACAGGCCCAGTTTACTTGAACTTTGTGTTGAATGCGACGGATTTTCCACCCGAGGACTACTATGACTACATCATTGTAGGAGGAGGGACCGCAGGTTGTCCATTAGCCGCCACTTTGTCGCAGTCATTTCGGGTTCTTGTCCTTGAAAGAGGTGGCGTTCCCTACGGTAACCAACATTTGATGACCCAAGAAGGGTTCTTGACCACACTCACCGAGGTCAACACCTACGACTCTCCTGCTCAAACCTTTACTTCTGAGGATGGGGTCCAAAACGCCCGCGGACGAATTCTTGGTGGCAGTAGTGCCATCAATGCTGGTTTCTATAGCCGAGCTGATCCAGAGTTTTATGAGAGTTCAGGTTTAAATTGGAATGTTAGTTTAGTTAACCGGTCTTACGAGTGGGTTGAGAGGGAAGTTGTTTTTAGGCCAGAGTTAAAGAACTGGCAATCAGCTGTTAGGGATGGTTTGATAGAGGCAGGGGTTGATCCTTACAATGGCTTTAGTTTGGACCATTTGGTTGGGACCAAGATTGGTGGCTCCACTTTTGATAGCTTGGGGAAGAGGCATAGCGCCGCAGATCTTCTGAATTATGCAAGACCAGCTAACATTAAAGTAGCAATATATGCAAGCGTGGAAAGGGTATTGCTGGCATCTTCTTCTTCAAATGTGATGTCTCAGCATTCAGCAATTGGGGTAGTGTTTCGTGATGAAATGGGAAGGTATCACCACGCTATGGTGAGGGAACAAGGTGAGGTGATGTTATCTGCTGGTGCTATTGAAAGTCCACAATTGTTGCTGTTGAGTGGTATTGGCCCTAGGCTTTATCTGTCATCTTGGGGAATTCCAGTTGCTTATCATCATCCATATGTCGGGCAGTACCTCTATGATAATCCAAGGAATGGCATCTCAATTGTACCACCAGTCCCACTAGAGCACTCACTTATACAGGTTGTCGGGATAACGGAAGGGGGAGCTTACGTTGAGGCAGCTTCAACTGTTATCCCTTTTACATCCCCTGCACGCTCTGTGTTCATCAGGGCACCAACTTCCCCTCTGTTTTTAAATGTAGCTACTATCATGGAGAAGATTGTAGGGCCTGTTTCTTCTGGTTCATTAAGGTTGGCCTCAACAGATGTCAGGGTAAATCCCATAGTTCGCTTTAATTACTTTAGCAATCCAATAGACTTGGAGAGATGTGTGAATGGTACACGCAGGATTGGGGATGTCTTGAGGAGTCGATCTATGGATTTTTTTAAATTCAGTGAAAGGTACGGGACTAGAAATTTCAGGTTTATAGGGCCTGCATTGCCTGTTGATCAATCCAACAATGAACAGATGGCTGATTTTTGCCGGCGTACTGTCAGCACCATATGGCATTACCATGGTGGCTGTACTGTGGGGAGAGTGGTTGATCAAAATTACCATGTTATTGGAATCGATGCACTCAGAGTAGTTGACGGATCAACATTTAGTGTATCGCCAGGAACCAACCCTCAGGCCACTCTGATGATGTTTGGGAGGTCAGTGTTGATTGTCAACTCAGTTTCATAGTTTCTGTCTTGAGTACGGAAGTTAAACAGACTAACTAATCAGTGTTACTTTGTTTTTGCAGATATCTAGGCCTGAAGATAATCAGAGAGCGAATGCAATTGAAATGATACCTTTTGGGATGAAAGGCTCTAGCATGCTGCTGGTCTGTTATTCAGCTACTCGACTAGTCTTTCTGCTTGTTTTAGTTTTCAGATTTACCTTTTGGTTGGTACTTGTGCATTTTTTCTATAGATATATTACATGTATGACTCAAGAGTACTGTTTTGTTAAGTGGTTTGTTGGTTTGAACAATACGTCCAATAAAGAAGGTTGCAGAAGACGAATACTGGTCTGTTTTGCAGAATGAACAATTGTATATGAACAAACAGCTGAGCAATCTAAAATAGTTGTACTTGTCAAGTAAATATAAATAGCAGAACATGGTCCCTTTTTTCTTTTCTTTTTTTTTTTTTTTTTTGCATTCAGGGTTTCATAATTTTTTTATTGGATTCTTCTTTTCTGTATTTTATTCCTAATTTCTGTTTAAGTTAATTGATTTGTTTGAGCACATTCTAGTTCTCCAATCATGTATTGAGATTTTGGAAATGAATTACTCAAGTTCAAGTAATTAAAATTCTCTAGCAGATGGCCTTGCCAAGGCAGGGTGGGCAATGACGGGCTACAGGAGTTTGTTTGTCAGGGACAACTTGGTCTTAACTTTCTTATAAGTTCACCTGTATAATTCTCTAGCAGATGACCTTGCCAAGGCATGAGTGGGCAATGACGGGCTACAGGAGCTTGTTTGGCAGGGACAACTGGGTCTTAGCTTTGTTATAAGTTCACCCGTGTAAACTTATCATAGTGGAATGGGGCTACAGTTGTATTTTATTAGTGGAAGTCAAATGGGGGATTTGTTGGGGGTGGAATAACTTTTGGTAGTCACCGTCACTGCTACATCATGAAATTACAGGAGCGAAGTGATCTTGATGAATCCATCCATTGGTCTTCATTAATCGGTGCAGGCAAACGTTAGTAACCAATTTGAGGCGTGGGTGGCATTTGGAAAGTTGGCTTTTAAATTCTTTGACGTATGCTTTGATTGGTTTCGTGAATTCCCAAATTGGTGTTTTATTATTGCTGCTTTACATTTGAGATTGTTTAGCTGTCTGTGTAGGAGATGCTCCCTCGATTTTGGGATAATTCATTGGTTTTCTCTATGTATGGGGACTTGGTGAATAAAACTTGTTTGTAAAAATGCCACCTAGACCGTAGCTTGGTCGGGGAGTTGAGGTGTGGGTTGCCTCTTTATGGTTTGTTTTGTGTCGGGCTAATGTTAGGCATTGGTATGGTATGCGGTGTGGATCTTAATTTGTTATTGTTGAGGTTCTCATGTTCCATGGGTCTTCCTTCCTGAAGCAATTTTGTTTTTGAATTATGGTAATAGAATTTCTTCCTCGTTAAAAAAAAAAAAAGAAGGAATGGATGAGCTTTTCATCTTTGTCTATTCTCACATGAAGTTGTGGAAATGCGAGGAACATATGTGAATGAAATCACTTTGTTGATTTAGAGTTTCATTTGTAAACTTATCAACGGGAACATTTACAAAACTAACGGAGATTAAGTACAGAAAATAGAAAGCATACTTCTAACTATAGTTCTTCAAAGAAATCAGAACCCTTCAAGTTTTTTAAGTTAAGAGTAAACAGGCTAGATGGCACTATATGTTATTTTTCTGATTATATAGATTAGGGACCTAATGGGGGTTATTTATAAACTTTTCTTATTAAAAAGATAGTTATTAATAATATTGTAATGATCGTGAGTGATGGATCACATCAAATTTTAAAAAAATGAATAAGTTTTTTAATTTTCAAAAAGATATCAAATATACATTTTAAATTCAAAGTAATTTAATAATTTAAATTCAAAAGATAAAAAATTTAGCATTCTCACTAGTGTGAACATTTTTATCTTAAACAAAAAGGCAAATCACATGAATCATGACGATAAATCCTTTTCAAAGTATTACCTTTCATGTATTAAAAAATAATCTCCATTTTTAAATCAACCCTGATTCGATACTTTATGCTTTATGAATAGATCTCAAATGTTTATTCTAAATCTTCACAAAATATTTGTCATTCTCAAACAAATATGTATACGAAATAAAACTTAAAAGAGAAGACAAATCAATCATCCAAAGTTTCAAAATACATCAAGTCAAATAAAAACATACTAAACTAAAATAATTAAGTCCCACTTGCATTGCAAGATCCTTGAACAACTTTGGTGGTATGCCTTTTGTAAAAAGATCCACAATCATCAATTCAATACTAATGTGTTCAATAAGCACCTTGTTTGCTTTGACACGCTCTCTCATGGTTAAGTACTTTATATGAATGTGTTTACTTCTACTTCCACTCTTACTATTCTTAGCTAAGAATATAGCAACTAAATTATCATAATAAATCCTTAATGGCTTAGAAATTGAATCCACAATTTGAAGCCTAGAGATGAAACTCTTAATCCAAATACCATGTAATGTTGCCTCAAAACAAAAAATGAACTCTGTCTCCATGGTAAAAGTGGCAACTCAAGATTGCTTTACATTTTTCCTAGATATAGTTCCACCAGCAAGCAAGAAGATGTATTCGGATGTTGACTTGCCAAAATCAACACAACTAGCAAAGTCAAAGTGTAAGTATCCAAAAACCTATAAATCATTTGAACTTCTATATATAAACATGCAATCTTTGGTTCCTTGAAGGTACCTTTTAACTTTCTTTACAACTCTCTAATGGTTTAAATCTAGAATATTCTAATATCTTCCCAACATTCCAACAACAAAAGCAATGTTAGGTTTAGTGCAAATTTGAGCATATATGAGGTTTCCAATAGTTAAAGCATAAGGCATGTTTTCCATCTGTTCGCTTTCAAGATTGTTCTATGAACATTGGTTTAAGCTAAACTTGTCACCTCTCAAGATGGGTGCTAAAGATAGTGAACAATCTTTCATTTGAAATCTCTCAAAAACTTTGTTTATAGTTTTTTTAAGAGAAACCCAATACACCTTAAGATCTGTTTCTATATATTTTAATGCCAATGACATAAGATGCCTCACTTTAATCAAAATGTTTAGAAAGAAATTGTTTCACGTTATGTAACGAAATTATATCATTGGTTGCAAGTAATATATCATAAACATACAAAATAAGAAAGATGATCTGATCACATTGACCTTATAGTAGATATATTGATTTATTATGTTCTAAACAAAACCAAATAAAAAGATAACATCATGAAATTTCAAGTGCCACTAAAAGGAGGCTTGCTTTAGTCCATAAACAAACCTCTTGAGTTTGCAAACTAAATTATCTCTATCACTAGAGAAAAACCTAATAGATTACTTTATATAAACCTCTCCCTCTAAATCACCTTTGAGAAAAGCTATTTTCACATCCATCTAATGTAATTCTAAGTTATAAAAAGTAACTAATGCCATGATGAAATGAAAAAACTCTTTCATAGAAACACGAAAGAAAGTCTCTTTTGTAATCAACTCTTTTTAGTAAATCCATTGGTTACGAGTCTTACTTTATAGCTTTCAATGTTGTTTAATGAGTTTTTTTTTTTTGTTGTTTTAAAAACCCATTTACAACCAATGGCCTTCGTCCTATTAAGCAACTCAACTAGATCCCAAACTTGATTTTTTGTCATAGAATCCACTTTATCTCTTATAGCATGATACCTAAACTTAGAATTACTATTATCCATAGCTTGTTAAAACATTTTAAAGTCATTCTTCACACAAATATCATAATCAAATTTTTATAAGTACACTATATATTCACTTGATATTGAAGGTTTTTTTGATCTAGTTGATCTCCTAAATACCATATCAACATTCTTTTGATGGGTTTGTGGTTCAATAAGATTCATATCTTATAGAGGTTGATACTCTATAGAAGCCTCTTCTTGTAAAGATTGTTACTTTATAGGAGCCACCTCTTGTGAAGGTTGTTGTTAATACACTATTAGAAAAAGGATTTTAGCAACAACAATTCCTAATGACAAAATAAGTTGTAAAAAATCATTATATTTGCAATGATTTTTCATAGTCGTTGCTTATTTGAATTTTTTTTATATTTTATACAACGATATTTTTTATTATTGCTAATTCCTATATAATCGTAATAATAAAAAAAAGTCAATACGGAATTATATTCTAATTGTAATGACTTTTTATTATCATTGCTTTATTAACTTTTTAAATATTTTATCTAACAACAAAAAAATGATTTTTTTCTTTATTTATGAGTGCTTAAGCCATTTGTGTTTATATGCCGAAACTTTGTTATTTTTATATTATGTATGATTAAGTCATTTTAGTTTATTTATCATGATTGGCTTTTGCTTTATAATGAATAATGCAATTTTTAATGTTTTCTTATCTAGAATGGCAAGTCGAGGTAGACAAAAAGGGAAACTTTTCATGGATGGTGTTGCAAAAACATCATTTATTTGAAGTAATGAATTGAAAAACTGTTCTGAATATAATTCAATATCAAGAAAAAGGATAAGTGTTTTACAAAGAATGAGTCTTGTAGATGAAGATGAAACCTAACCTCCTAATGATTAGGAAAATTAAAAAGATATTAGCAACTTCCTAACAAATGGAACCCATATAACTTTAGGTAATTTGTTATATATTTTTTATCTACTTTTAAAAAAATGTCTTCCTTTTTAGGATTTATCTAATAAATACATAGTGTCCATCATCCTAAAATTGTTCAAATCTTAAACTTCTCAATAAAATTATTAAATATAATAGTTTATTGCATTTTTTACTTTGTTTTCATTCCTGTAATTTGGTTAGCAAAAAAGCCATTTGAATTCTATAGATGGGAGTATCAAATGAATGACAAAGTGATTAAGATAGCTCTACTTTTTTTTTTCACATATTTTTTTTTAATCAGTTTACTTATATATTGTTCAATGTTTATGGCATTTTTCAGTTGCATAGGCAGAATCACATTGCGTTGAAATTATTTCTGAGATGCCATGTTAGGTGTTAATTCTTGTAAATAAATCAGCTGAAGAAATTACTATAAAGTAAATATTGAAATATTAATGTAAGACTAACTAACTACTTTTGGGGGTTGAATGGTTGTTTTTATTTGTATAGTGCATTTATGTTGAAGTTATCTAGGATTGTGGTTTATGAAACCATTTGCTAGCATAATTAAAAATAAACATATTGCTTTTTGTTTATTTTTATAGCATAATTTTATTTTCTAAAAAATTAAAATAATTTGTCACAACATGAATGTAGGCTGTTTATTATAATGTTTGGATTGATTATTTTGTTTTTGCTAAAAAGTATAAAGAAAGGTCATGGG